CTATCCCTTTTCTTTTTGAAACTTTCCCCCGGCTTCTCTAACAGTAAATATGAAGAAACGAAAAAGCAGCGCTTTCATGCTTAGTGTAGCATTACCATATCTCCTCACCCACCTTTTCCTAAGCGCAGTCTGGCGAAACACCTCAAGGTTTTGTGAGGTCTTTGGAAACCAGTCTAGCTGAGAAAGGCCATGAGGGCAACATGTCCATGGCTCTCTTCTTCATTATTGTGTTGAGAATACATAAATGGTGCCCAGCAACCAGAAGGAGATCAGTAAATACTTTTGAATGAATGGCTGATGGCCTATGGGCTTCTGGGGTCTGAAATCCATCCAAGAAAACTAGCATGTGAGGCAGCCTACACAGACCTGTCTGCCCAGTAAGGTAACCAATAACCACAAGTGGCTATTTGAATTTTCAATTAATGTAAGTTAATTAAAATTTGAAATTCAGTGCCTCAGTTGTCCAGACACCTTATAAGTGCTCACTGCCACATGTGGCTGGTGGCTGTCATGTTGGACAGCCCTGGTATTGAACGTTCTCCTCGTCACAGGAAGTTGTGTTAGCACTGGGGCAATATTGCTAGTAAGGCCTAAGTTAGTGGCCCCAATCTTTTTAAATGGAAATTCCTTTATACTACAAAAAGTAGCCCTTTCACATCTCTCCCCCAACACTGTAGGAACTCAGTGAAGAAAGGTGGGTGGGCCCGGCCAGTGTGGCTCAGTGGTCAAGTGTCGACCCATGCACCAAGAGGTTGGCAGTTCAATACCTGGACACGGTACATGCCCAGGTTGTGGGCCCAATCCCCAGTGGGGGACATGCAGGAGGCAGCCAATTGATGTACTCTCTCATTGATGTTTCTCTCTCTAAAAAATCAGTAAAAAGAAATAAATGTTAAAAAAAAAAAAGAAAGAAAGAAAGGTGGGCGGCCCGTAGAGGTGACTCTCTCTTTGAAACCTATAGCCAAACAACAGCAAGGCTGGTAGCCACACTGATACTTCGGTAGTATATTCTTATTTAGCTACAGTTGTTAGAGTAGTGAAATATCTATATAAATTAATAAAGAAGCTGCTGCTTCAGGCTCATCCAGTGGCCCCTTCCTCTGCTTCAGGAGCCCTGGTCATTTGCATAGGCTGTTCCAACCTCCCTTAATTAAGCAAGAGTTAGTTGATGCCTGTTCCATTCTTGGGGGTAAGAGGCTGCTCGAGGACCCTGCCCTAACACTGCAGATTGGTGGGTGCTGCCCTTGGCCTCGGGAAGGGACTGCTTCCGAAGAGTCTTTCTTAAGGCTTCATTGTCACTACCCAGGACCAAGTCCCGATCCCAGAACCATTGACCTCAAGAAGACCTTAAATTCATTTCATGCAATCCCTTCAATTTACTGCAGAAATCAAGTCACAGAGAGCCACTCAGCCAGATCGTAGCCAATTCAGAGATAAAACTCAAATCTCTTTTTTTAGCTATGTCTTCCTGTTGTCAGTTTTCTTAACTGTGAAATGAGGAGTAATGTCTTTATGCCTCAAAAAGTTGTTAATAAAAAGAATAATAATACCCAACATTTTATGCATGTCTTAGAGTTTGCAAAAATTCTCTTGTCTGCATTTTTTGTATAATCCTCACAAGCACCAGGGGTAGTGAGTGACCTGCCCCAGAGAACACAGCTGCTGTGAGGAGCAGAGTTCTAAGTCTCTTAGGGCTTGGGAAACTATAAACTCTTGTAAATGTAACATAACATAACCACATGGCATTACTAGTTTTTAGCTTGTGGTATTTTGCATTTAGTGACATTGAAAGTGGCAACTTTGTTCAAGCAATGCTTTTTTTTTTTTTTTTTTGCTTTGTTAATGTGCCAACTGCACAGACTTCGGTTCAGCATTAAAACTGAAGTGGGCTGCCTCGAAGTATATTTTTAAAATGAGAGAATCCAAATTTGTAATTAGCTTTAAAAATGCTAATTGTGTAATTTAAGTAAAGAGCTTCTGGCAATCATTGCTGTTATTACTGGTGGTTTACTTTTTTGTATCTCCCCCACCCCCACAAGCAATTAGGCCCTTTGGAAAAAAACAAATTATGTTCTTTGAGGGGTCATTTCCTCTATTACCCCTTTGTTTTTCACACCCTATAGTCCTGGTGTACTTAGACAATAAACAGTATATCTGATCATGGCAGCCATTCTGCCCACGTGGCACCTAATGCTAGGGGATGCGTTGAAATTATAAAGAGAAGCCACAGAGAAGGAAATGGTTCAATTTTTGATTGCCTTTTGTCTTTTGGTCCTTTCATAATTTTGATAGAAACATCCCTTACTTTTAGATAAGATGGTTGAGAAGATCAATTTAACTCACTTCCAAAATAAAATTGAAATTATTTTGCTTCTCTCTCTCTCTCTACTTCAGCCCTTTTATACTATATGCTATAGTCTACTATGCAGAAATTGAGCTTATAGATAAGGGAAAGAGTGGGATTATTTTATTCTATATAACAAAGAAATATCTCTTCAATATTCTTTTATTAGCTTATAAAACTTGTGGTGCTCTCTATACTAATTACCCTGTAAGATTAAATACATATTAAGGAAAAAGAAAAAAATGTTTAGAGAAAGCTATAAATATAAAGTTCCACTGGGGTTGTGAGCCCTGATTTGGTAGTACTAATTTATAGTACATTTGGGGAGCTCATGCTTGTATGTCTGTTTGTTTTTTAAAGTATGTACTCTGTATGTGTCTTCATGTCTTCTCTGTGTATACCCTGTTATATAATGGACAGTATTGGACTTTACGAGATATAGCCTCCCTCCTGTCCACACAGGACCGTCATTGCGTTTACCGTTATCTAGAATTTTTAAAAAACTTTTACTTGTGCTATTCTTCCCTGCTTTGTGTAGATGCTATAGAAGATGCTGACCAAAAAAAAAAAAGGCAGAAAGGTAAAGTTTATGATTTAGATTTATAGCCAGAGTTGGAGTCATCAAGTCATTGAAGTGTCTTGGAATCATTTAAAACACTAGGCTTGAATGAATCTTTGAAATTCCAAACCTCGGATTCCTCCCAGCGCCTCGGTGGAAGAGGGACTGAGAGTGTGCACACGCTGTCAGTCTGCAGCCACCAGTTTTGTGCCAGGGCACCCAGCACTAGATGGGATAGTGCACGCCAAGCCCTCGACGCCAGGGCCAGCATCCTGAGCACCGGGGAGGGCCGCCGCTATTAACCTGTCTGATTTCATTTTGTCTCCACATCTCTTTCTGCTCCCTGATGGCCATGCTGAGAAGCAGCAAAATGTCCAAGAAATAGGAAAACACCCTAAGGAAGGGAAACACATCGGGCCTCGGTGGGCTGGACACCTGCTAATAATTGGCAGCCGCTCGTTTCTTTTCTTGGGAGAGATTTACTTGCAAGCTTCCCCCAGACTCTTTCCCAAGTGAAGACCCGCCCCAGAGACACACGGAAACACCTCCATGGCCCATGTCTGACTCAGTCTGGTCCCCTGAGGTTCAGTTGGGTGGTAAATTTACATTAATCTCAAGTCTTTTATTTTGTGAAAAACAGTGAACTGTTCAGTCATCTGTGTAAGAAAAACAAAAATAAAATCTGAATATGGTTGCCACTGAGTAGAACTTTAAGACATGTACAGTGGGAGGAGTGTATTTTTTCCTGTGCTTATGATAAAGTGGGCAGTTAAGAAATTAACCAGTACTCATGCTATGGCAGGCGTGGCCATTGGTGCACCTTCTCCAGAAAGTCATCAGGGACCCCTCGAGTTTATACCACGTGACCCAGTAATTCCTTTTCTAGGAATCCACTTAAGAAGATATTAAGAAATTCAGACAATCTGATATTCAGATATATCCCTTAAAGTGTTATTTGCAATAACAAGCAAACAAAAAACAAAAAACAAAAAAAAAGGAAGACAATATGTAATTCCAAAAATGAGAGAAAAAGCTAAAAAAAATAAAACCCTTTTCTAGGGGGTGTAATATTATATAGACATTGAAAGGCATGTTTTTGAAAAAAAATTTAGTAATGTGGGAAAATGCTCACATTCATATAATATTGAAAGAAAAATCAGAAACAGAACTGAGTATTTTTGTATATATGAAAAGAGAATCCTGGTGCACAATCCCTTATCCTCTAGTCTCAATCCAAATGGTTTCAAAAATTGAAAAGGTTTTTTGGTAACTTCTTTGCTTGAAAAACGTGGCTTGAACTAGTGAGGCTCTATTTTATCTGACTTAATAAGAATGTGCATCTGTTTTGCCACAGAAACGTTGAATGTGTTATGGAGTGCTGCTCCAGACTCTGATGAGCTATTATGTATTAAATGGTAGTTCATCACAATACTCTGTAAAATCCAAACAGTTCTGAATTCTGAAAAATATCTGTCCCAGGAGTTTCAATTAAGGGGTCATGGACCTAATAGATATCATCAGTGATTTATCAGTGTCAAGGTTACCGTTGATCTTTATGCTTTTCCATATTTTCTAAATGTTCTGCAATAGACATGCATTAGTTTAGCATCAGAAAAATTAAGTAATATTCATTTAAAAATAAACATATTGAAGCATCAGAGAATCATCTCATTTCAGTCAGAATTCTCGAATTTATCACTTGCTTCCTGCCGCCTTGTTACTGCAGCCACAGGTGGCGTTTAAACCAAAGAGTTCTGATTTGTTGAAAGAAAACATTCATGGGATGAAATAAAGGAGAAATTGACCTGTCTGCAAGCTGTTTTGGGGCTCAGCACGGCACCCAGTGAGGGATGCTCACCTAGAGGAAGAACTCGGGGGATAGGGCTCCCGCCAGGGTTGAGCCCAGGCATTAACCATGGGCTGTTTTATCATGTTCTGTTTATGTGGATGGGTCAAGAAGCACACAGCCAGAGACACAGGAAGTTAGTGTAGAGGTCATAAATCAGGGGGCAGTGAGGAGCAGGATAGCAGGAGGGAGGGGAAATGTTAACATGCAAGGCTCACTCTGCTCATGGCCAACTCTTCCTCCCCAACCAGGTGGACACTCACTGACCTGTCACAAGGTTGCCCCACAAAGCTTTGGGGCCCATGTCTGAATGGATTGCTGTAGCCTTGTCATCTCTCCCTTCGCCCAGTTCCCTGCATCCTAAGACTCGAAGCCAGCACAGGACCTGGAAAAATTACATGTAAGTGTTGATTAAAGTTTCTTTTCTCAAACCAAACAGTGGTGAGAATTTTCTTAGGTGAAAATAACAAACACTGTAAATTACATGAATGACTTTTCTTTTAACAGAGTATCAGAGAATTAGAATGGAAGGGGGGCGCTGGGTTAGATTCTGCATATTGGTGGTGCCCTAACCTAGTAGTGGCTCTTACACTTGAGCTTGCATCAGTCATCCAGAGGGCTGGTTACAGGACAGCTTGCTGGGCCTTGTGCCTAGAATTTCTGATTCAGTAGATCTGGAGGAGGAGGGCTGGGAATTTGCTTTTCTAACAAGTGTCCAGGTGATGCTGAGAGAGCTGGTCCAGGGACCCCACTTTGAGAATCACTGCTTTAGCTCATGTGACTGAGGAGCAATGTCAAAGGTGGAAAAGTATATTAAATATTCGGTACTAAACATCACTCAATTAAGATATTTAGTGCTCCACTTAACACATTGATTCATCTCTCAGAAAAGAGAATTTTAAGGTCCTCTCATCACCGTCACATTTGAAGTCCAGCCAAGTCGCTGTCATTATTCTGACAATTTCACTCCAGAGTCATTAGTACCAGTCATTCATTGCCCTTTGTTTTCAACAGGGGTGAGTAGCAGTGCTGTTACTAGGCTAAAATGACAGCAACAGACCTTTTATAAGTCTGTTCATAGTACTTTTAGATACACTCAGTGGGGAAACGCTTTGTTTGCCTGGGGAGGGAAATATGTTGCTTCCTTTCGAAGTGAATCACCATAATATCCCTCCCCGCATACACTTAAGTGTGACTTGATTTTACGAAACACATGTGAGAAGGGAAGCACCTCCAGAAAATAAAAGACCAGGTCAGCTGGTTCAGGTTTGTGTGGGGTTATGAGTTCTCAGGACAGACTTTTTTTTTTTTAATCCTCACCCGAGGATATTTTTGTATTTATCTTCAGTTAGAGTTGGAGGGAGGGAGGGAGAGAGAAACATCAACGTGAGAGACACATCGACTGGTTGCCTCTGCAGACCCAATGAGGGCCGGGGTGAACCACAACTGAGGTACGGGCCCTTGACCAAAATTGAACCCGCAACTCATTGGTCTGCAAGCCAGTGATGCTGGAACTGCTGAGCCAAACCAGCCAGGGCTCAGGACAGACATATTTTTGAGGATCAGCATGTTACTGTTTCAGCTTTGGAACAAGCCAGTCACCTCTCTGCTGAGGACAAGAATAATTGATTCCCTATTAATAGGAAAAAAAGTAGAAGAGCTTGGCTTAACAAATACACACTTGGATGTATGTGAGCATTCATGTAAATGTACATATGTGCCTGTGAATATATATGCATTTTGTACATTTCTAAGCTTTCACTGTAGGAATTTTAAACACATTTTTCTTTTGTTTCTTTGAATTGGTGTGAATGTAAAGATGACATAAGTGGTGCTGTCCAGGAAATGTTTGAGAAACTTCTGGGCATTTTAAATCTGTGGGAGCCCTGGCCCGTTTGGCTCAGCGATTAGAGCATCAGCCCATGGACCAGTGAGTCACGGGTTCAATGCTGGTCAAGGGCACGTACCTTGGTTGCAATTTGCCCTGGCCCTGGTCACATCGATGTCTCTCTCCCCCCCCACCCCCACCCCTCCACTCTATCTGAACAAAAATGGAAAAATGTCCTCAGGTGAGGAAAATAAATAAATAAATAAATAGGAAAGCAATAGGATTTATAGCATTTTCCTTAGGTATGGTAAATGTTATCATCCAAAGTATCACTTAGGACTTTCAGTGCCTTTATCATAATTCTCTGGATTGAGAATAACCACTGTTAATAAAGCAATTGCCAAGCAGGTATGTAATGAAGGAGTGTATCTATTGCCTAAACATTAGCAGAGCCCCAAATCCTGGAGATAGATTTAATAAGTGCATATGTTTAAAATAAAAATCACAAAATCAGCAAAATAAGACCAAAAAAAAAACCTGATTCATGATGAAAGAGTTCTGTAGGAATTAATTCAAAGCTATCTTCAGGGAGCTGTCCAAAGGGTAACAGGGCTGATACTAGGGCTGGTGGAGTGGTGAGTGATATAATTATCTATTATTTTCTACCCTCACAAACTAAAACATCTCTGCCAAGCACTAGTTAGTTATTCTGCACAGCATCCTTGGAAAGAAGGTTTTCAATTTATAAGGCGTCTCCACCATGCAGGGAAAGAAGTGGGTTGGATCAGGTGCTCATTAATCCCCCTCCTGCTTTGGCATCCGTGAGTGTCCACATTTACACATCAGGTGTTCCTGTAGGATCACCTTTTATGACCTGGCTCACCTGCCTGGATCACTCCCCGTCCCCTCAGGTGAAGCGCTTAAGTCACCTAGAGCTTAGGGCAACTCTATAAAATACCGTGCGTGTGTGGGTACCGGGGTGTATGGGAAGCATCTGTGCTTTCCCTCCAATTTTGCTGTGAACCTAAAACTGCACTATTAGAAAGTTTATTAATAAAAAAATAAGAATCAAATAGTATGACAGCTCCTCAAAAAATTAAACCTAGAATTACCACAGGATCCAGCAACCCTACTTCTGGGTATACACCTAAAAGAAGTGAAAATAGGGCCTTAAAGATATTTGCCCATGTTCATAGCAGCATTATTCACAGGACTCAGCAGGTGGAAAAAAACCACTTGCCTATCAGCAGATGAGTGGCTAAAGAAAATATGGTATGTATATGCTATAGAATGTTGTTCAGCCTTCTAAAGATGCAATCCTGACACATGCTACAACATGGATGAACCTTGACAATACTGAGTGAAATAAGCCAGACACAAAAGGACAAATACTGTCTGATCCCCACTCATACGAGGTACCTAGAATAGTCAGGTCCATAGTCCGAAAGTGGAATGATGGTTGCCAGAGGCTAGGAATAGAGGGGAATGGGAGGTTAGTGTTTAATGGGTGCAGAGTTTCACTTTCAGAAGATGAAAATGTTCTGGAAATGGATGGTGGGGTGGTTGCACAGTCATATGAATTTACTTAATGCTACTAAACTATACTCTTGCAAATTGCTAAAATGGGTCCAGCTGGTGTGGCTCAGTGGTTGAGCATCGACCCATGCACCAAGAGGTCGCCAGTTTGATTCCCGGTTAGGACACGTGTCCAGGTTGTGGGCCAAATCCCCAGTGGGGAGCATGCAGGAGGCGGCCAATCAGTGTTCTCTCTCATCAATGTTTTTCTCTCTCTCTCTCCTTCTCACTTCCTCTCTCTCTAAAATCAATAAAGAAAAAAAAAAACTTAAAAAATTGCTAAAATGGTAAATGTTATGTTATGTATATTTTAACACAATAAAAACACTGAATACCAGAGATCGCTTCCTTCCAAGAATGCTGTGCAGAATAATTGGCTAGTGCTTGACAGGGGTATCGTAGCTTCCAGGTGGAGTAAGACTGGATGGCCATGTCCCTTACCCCTCCCTCAGCCCTCATACTTACTTTCCTTGGCCTGCTTTTGGGCCTGGGGGCAGGATCTGCAGAATGTCCTGCTTCAGTCTTAGCAATGGATTTCCTCTCAGGGCGAGGACACATTTTTCAGAAACTACCAGGAGAAATGCTATAAACAACTATGATCTCTGGCGAGGACACATTTTTCAGAAACTACCAGGAGAAATGCCATAAACAACTGTGATCTCTACCAAACACCCTTTCCACGTAGAGGGAAGCTGCTGCACGGTGGCGGAGGTCAGTGTGCCCACCTGTGTCCCTGCAGCGGGGCTGCTCCAGTTTGTCAGAATCACATGCTCATGAACAAGTCCAGGCACAGTGCTCGGCACGCATGCGGTTTCGGAGCCGTGTGCATAGCTGTGGCACACAGCAGGTTCTGATCCGTGGAGGTGGATGTGAAGTCAGGAACCAGAAGAAATCCTAAATTGAGCATGAAAACTTTGCAAGAAAATGAATAGCACACAGTTCTCCTCCACCAGGGCCTCAAACTATTATAATACTCCAAACTAGTATAATTTATCCCCCCATCACCAAATCTCTGTAGTATTGGGTATTACTGTACCCACAAATCACAAAACAGTTTAGTGAGTGACCTGCAGTCCTGTGAGAAATATGCAGTACTGGACACATTAAGGTAGTCCATTTGGGCTTTACATTTTGGGGGTGTTGCTTTTTATTCTATGTTTCCAGAAAGCTGGCCTTGGAGAACGACCATGGGACTTAGTAGCCATGGTTTCTCTCCAGTTTTCCTTTATCACTTCAGACCTTGCCTCTCTCTGAGTCTGACCAGGGGTTGTGATTTCTACAAAGCAGTGCATAAGGGTTCATAGTTTCAAAGAGGTCAGAAACCTGTCCTAAATTATCTCATTTTCTCCTTAAGACATGAAGATTATTTATATGTGTGTGTACGTATCATATATATATATATACATATATATATGCATATATATATATACATATATATATATATACATATATATATATATACACACACACACACAGACACATACATGTGTGTATATTGTGTATGTGTTTGGCTTAAGGAAAAGGTATAACTAAAAAAAGAGGTAAAATAAGGTCATCAAAGTTAAAGTACAATATATATAAATTAGTCCCCTCATTCCCACCCCAGACTTTTCAAATCTGCTTAGAAATAAACTCTCCACGCTCTTCACTTAGGTGATGGAGAACAGGGCAAAGCAAACAAAGGTTTTGAAGTCAGTTGCCATAGGGAGCTACTAAGATATATATATGTATATATTTTAAAAACTGAAACTAAGGGTTTTTAGAGAAAAGAAAACCCAGGTAAGCAATATCAGAGAGAGAAAAAGTAAGTGCTTATTTCTCCTTGACATCCACATGTAGCTACGAGCACCCTACACTTGAGTGGAAATGATATGGTTATAGAGTCCAATCAAAATTAATTCAGCCCCTTGATTTGGATGGACCCACTGACACATGTTTCTCCTAGAGAAGACCAGCAAACCAACAACATTCATCCAGACAGGATGATGTAAGGTGGA